CTCTTAATTTATATATTAATTCATACAATAATGTGTTATTTATTATATATAGATAGATATTTAACTTGTATATTTTTAAATAAATATGTATATGCTTAATTTCATTAATATATATATATATAAATAACAATATAAAAATCATTTAACTAATTATTCTATTTATATATTTATATCAATTTTTAGGAAGGTCATTATCATCTTTAAATGTACCACACATACCTCGTCAACGTTCATCTTCTGCTTCTAGATCAAGAAGAAGGCGAGCAACATTGTCAGACTCATATACAACTGATTCACATACAGATGAAGATAGTTCTTATTCTTCTCGCACAATATCTCCGTTAACCTCTGCCACCTCATTCTTCAACACGATATCATCACCTTTATCAATGCCAACTTTATTTTATAGAAAGACAAAAATGATAAGCTTAGTTCCTGAAGGAGCTGTTGATCCAAATAATTTGGTACCTGCCGCTGCAATGATGGATCTGGACAATAGTAATCAAGCACCAATCTCGCCAACTACTCAGCTTAACGATCATATTCCTGAAATTCCTGCTCCTCCTCTTATAACGCAGCATACTCGATTGAAACAAAAAATAAAAACGCTGGAAACGAAAATATCCGAGTATCGTGCTGTGTATAAAATGAGAGAGGCAGGCCATCATAATGATGATGATGATGATGACGACGATGACGACGACGACGACGATGATGATGATGATGATGATGATGATGATGATGATGATGATGATGGTGATGATGATGGTGATGATAATGGTGGTGGTGGTGATGGTGATGATGATGATGGTGATGATGATGATGATGATGATGATGATGATGATGATGATGATGATGATGATGATGATGATGATGATGATGACAATGATAAAGGAGATCAAGAGATTGAAGATCCATTGTCTGAATTTACGACCGAGGAAATAAAAGAAACGATAGATAAATATGTAACGACTGTTGCGGGGCTTAAACGATCAATCACATTGTACAGAGAAATTATATATAAAGTTGCATCTGACCCTGATATTTTGGAGTTTGCTCCACATATGATAGCTTATCAATTGACATTAATTGATTCTGCTATTTTTCTAGAAATTGATCCTCATTCACTGTTAGCTCATTCCACAAAAAATCCTGATCCAAAAATAATAGCATCCACGGATTTTTTTAATTATTTAACACGTATTGTAGAATGTTCTATTTTGTCACCGGTTGAAGCCTCTTCCAGAGCATTGGTTATACATCATTGGGTTAAAGTGGCGGCTAAATTACACGAATTGCATAATTTTCAAACTTTAAAGGCTATCCTTTCAGCTTTAGGTACGCCACCAATAAAAAGATTGAAGAGGACATGGACATGTATCCCAAAAAAAAGTATGGTGAAATTAGATTCGTTAAATGAAATGATGAGTGAGTCTAGTAATTATGAAAAATATCGAGAGACAATACAACCTGAAATATTTTCAAGAAAACCTATTGTACCATTTTTGGGAACATTCATAATGGATGCAACATATTTATCAGCAGCTATAAGAAACTCAGCGTCATCATCCATCAATTCACCATTGATTTCACTTTCCATGACTAGCACCACCACCAACAGCGATGATTCTGATAGTGGTAATGGTAATAAAAATAACAACATTACAGGTAATAGTTGTTTTACACATCCTATATCACGATCAATGTCATTACCCTCTTCACCCGAAAAAATTCTTACTTTACAAGATGATTCACGAGTTCAAGAATTACTGCATACAATGTTTCGATATCAAAATGGACCAAAATATCAACCAATCCCGCCAATGTCGTATATAAAAGCGTCAACAAAACATCATTTTCGAGCGACAAGTCTTGGGGCTTTTTTATATTTACAATTGGGTGATTTGTTTATTTTTTTTTTCTGGAAAATTTTTAGATCATCGGTTATTTTTTGATTATTTCCGAATTGGATTATCGACAAACATTTGTTGACATCCCCGGATTAACCCTTGGTTTCCAAGTGGAGTTAACTCCCTAAAACTATATAAATAGTAATCAAGAGGTAAAAATCAACAATGCTTTTATAGAGAATTCTTTACAAAAAAAAAAAATTTAATATTCCATCTTTTCCATATTTACCAAATAAGTCTACCCAAAATTTGCATACGAGTAATTTATATTTTTCAAACCTTACCTTGAGACTATCTCGCGACACAGGGAATAAAATAAATAATATTTTTGAAGGCGACGAAAAAATATTTTCTTCGGGTAACTTCAATGATTATGAACGAAGATACACTTCCATCTTCTTCTTCATCTTTTATGGATGTAGGTGTCCTTCCATCTTCTTCTAAAAAACTTATATCAGAGAAAATCTGACTCTACGTTACTTTGGAGGAAAAAAATAAAAAAATATTTACGAAACCTTAATTAAATAGATTCTTGATACCCATCCATTCCTTTGATGATCTATTAATTAAATTCAAGACAAATTACCAGTCGATTGTTATTGGACCAAAAGGAAAAATATGAATATTTGTTCCTCAAAGGTGTCATATTAGGTGATAAAATACCTGAAATAAAAATGTGACTGTCGTGAATCGTATTGGTAAATTCTAATTGTGCATTCCTAAGTCATTTGTAATTAAGGCTGATGGCCAAGGCCCTAGATTTTCAATTATCGAAAAGGGTGGACGCTGGCTTCGTTGCTTTTTATCGAATATAATCCATACGCTCAGGTTATTGAATGGGGAAAAGGGACGTAGATATAATAGAACGCTTATGCTGCTGCTACCTTGGCAGAATCCAAAAACAGACAGTATTCTATTAATAGTAAAGCAGAAATTTAAAAATTATTTGCTCATCCATTTTATCAGCATTGGTTAATATGTCACGTTTTTTGTATTCCACTACTCATTCTTTACCCTCTTTCTTGGTTTCTCGTTCGTAGGTTTTTTTCTTCATCACTATCATCGAAAGTAAGGGTCAAGCGTAAAAAGATATAAGATCCACAATAAAATACGTAATTTTGTGGTGAATGTTGTCGAAATTTTGTAAAGTGGTTATGCGAAAATCATCATGTCGTTTTAAGCAAATATCGAGGCCTACCCTTATAAGGATAGATTTACGTTAGTATATAGTATTTATTCAACAAAAAACTGTGTGGTACAAAATTAATTGACAACGCCCCGGATTTAATCCATTCGGATTAATTTCTGGTTGTTTTTTTTCATTTTGTTTTACAACACTTTCCATATAAACTATATCATTATTATTGCTAAAAGCGGGTTTTTTCATAAACATAATCATAAATCAAACAAAATCAGTTCAAATATAGATTTGGCTTCTTTTGGCGAAATTTTGTGTAAAAAAAAATAAATAAATAAATAAATAGGCAATCCAAAATCAAATCAAATCAATGAATTAAAAATCTAAAAAAACAAACCTTTAATATTAAGGAGAGATAAATTCGAATGATTTTTTTACTGATGAATTACATGTGATCTTTATCACATCATCACATACACGTAATATAAAAATATTTATAAAATAAAGTTTTTTTTTTAAATAAATAAACTCTTTTTGAGAAATTTGTTATTATTGGTTTAGATTTTTAGAGAAATATCGGGAATTTCAGGAT